CACCTGATTCAGATAATTTAGATTGAGTGGCTAGCATTCTATTTGGTAATGAGCTTTCTCAAGTGTGTTTCATCAGAGATGTCTTTGAGACGCTGCAACTTTTTTGGAGTGAGGGTCAAGGTGAAGATGGGAAAATGCTGTTTGCCTGTGTGAGTTTAGAGAGCACTGCCTTGCCAAGTGTTGCTTTTTCCTTTTTGGTTAATTATGCAGGATATCCGGAGCTGGGGAAATGAAAACGGCAGGAAGGATGTGAGGCAGTATCTTCCCTTTAGAATACAGACTATTGAAAGTAGTTGAACTGGCCATGCTTTAGCTCAACATGGGCTGAATAACTGATGTTCATATGTAGAATTACTTAGGGCAAAATAACCCAGAAAGCACAGCTGCTCTATTATTATGATCTGATCTGATTGTCTGGCTAAAGCCATATCTTTGTCGGTGGAGAGATGGAATTTCGTCTACAGCAAGGGATGTAAATTGAGGTGCTTACATTGTGACAAGTAGTAATAATTACAATAGGAAACACCTGTACATGCCAATGAGCGTTCTAAGGGTTTACTTGAATTATTACTTTAAATCCCTCTAAAGAAGATACTATTATTAGCTCAATATTGTAAACTAAAGAAACCAATATACAGAGAGGTTAAGTAACTTGTTCAAGGTTATAGAGACAGTAAGTACCTAGGGGAAGAACTTGGAAAACAAAACTTCACTAGTGAGTGTTGGTAATTGGTGACTGCATTTGACCATTTCCTGAATTCAGAAAAGAATCTGCATCTTTGCAAACAGGAAGATAGTAGAAAATATTAAAATTCATGGACTTTCAGAGATCAAAAAGAAAACAACCTCACCACACCAAAATGTAAAAATCAAATGTAAGAGAATCTTTGTGCCCATTATAACTTTGTGAAAACCACTGGATGGATTAAGAACTTCAGGGCAAAAAGCCCATTAGGGTGTGGTATCCAAAAATTACTTATTTAGACAAAATAACGTATGAATCTTCCCCAGTGACATCTAATAGGCTCAAGTTACCTGATATTAAAATGGTGGGAATGTAGAAAAATGCATGTGTGTGAGAAAAGAGAATGTAATGCCCTAAGAAAGTACATCTTATAAAGAACTGTGGACACTGGCACATACAGCTGATGAAATCAAATAGATAGGAAGTCTATTGAATTCGGGGTAGTTGTATTGCCAGAGGAAGTAGGGCAGGAAAAGAACTGAGAAAACTGCATGACCCACAGGAGGTTCTGCTGCCCTCTATTTCAGATGTGGTCAAGAAGATAAGGGAAAAGGAAGAACTTTCCAGAAGGCAGAGTCAGGGCCACAGAGAACAATAGAGACCAATGGAACAGAATAGAGAGCCCAGAAATAAGCCCAAGTCTCAATGGTCAATTAATATTTGACAAAGGAGGCAGCAACATAAAATGGAGTAAAAATAGCCTCTTCAACAAATGGTGTTGGGAGAACTGGACAGCCACGTGCAAAAAAAATGAAACTTGAGCACCAACTTACACCATATACAAAAATAAATTCAAGGTGGATAAGAGACTTAAATATAAAACGTGACACCATTAAAGTCCTAGAGGAGAACGTAGGTAGGAAAATCTCAGATATTTCACGAAGAAACTTTTTTACTGACTTGTCCCCTAGAGCAAGAGACATAAAGCAAAGAATAAACAAATGGGACCTCATCAAAATTAAAAGCTTCTGCACAGCCAAAGAAAACAGTATCAAAATTAAAAGAGAACCAACAGTATGGGAAAACACATTTGCCAATGATACCTCAGACAAGGGTTTGATCTCCAAAATATATAAAGAACTTACAAGACTGTACTCTAAGAAGACAAACAACCCAATTAAAAAATGGGCAAAGGACTTGAACAGACACTTCTCCAAGGAGGACATACAGAAAATCCAAAGACACATTAAACGATGTTCAATATCGCTAGCTATCAGAGAGATGCAAATTAAAACCACAATGAGATACCACTTCACACCAGACAGAATGGCCATCATAAACAAAGCAACAAACAACAAGTGTTGGAGAGGTTGTGGAGAAAAGGGATCCTTAGTGCACTGCTGGTGGGACTGCAGACTGGTACAACCACTATGGAAAGCAGTATGGAACTTCCTCAGAAAACTAAAAATGGATCTGCCTTTTGACCCTGCGATTCCACTGCTGGGACTCTATCCTAAGGATACTAAAACACCAATTCAAAAGAACCTATGCATCCCAATGTTCACAGCAGCACAATTTACAATAGCTAGATGCTGGAAGCAACCAAGATGCCCATCAGTAAATGAATGGATCAAAAAACTATGGTACATTTACACAATGGAATTCTATGCAGCAGAAAGAAAGAAGGAGCTCCTACCCTATGCAACAGCATGGATGGAGCTGGAAAACATTATGCTAAGCGAAACAAGCCAGGCAGTGAAAGACAAATACCATATGATCTCACCTTTAACAAGAACCTAAATAACAAAACAAAGAAGCAAACAAAATGTAACCAAAGACAATGAAATAGAGGATGGGCTGACAGGGGAGAGTAGAGGGAATTTAAGGGGACAGTGGGAAGGGTTCACAGGAACAAACTTAAAGGACACATGGTCATAAACTAAGGGGAGGGTGGTAATGGGAGGGAAGTGGGGAGGGGTGGGAGGGGGGAATGGATTGGGAGTAAAAAGGAGAAAACTGTATTTGAACAATGATTAAAAATAAATAAATAAATAAATAAATAAATAAGAACAATAGAAAAAGAAGTCCCTCCACTCTCTGGAGAGCAGATTTAATCAAGGAACATTCCCCACCTCAAAGATGAGGGCCTTAATAGTGTTTGTCTACCAAAATTTCAAAATTACCATGGAGCAGTGACTGCTATGTATCAAGGACTTTTTCTTTTCCAAATGTGAGTACTTTTCTAGTCATGCTATGCCTGTTTCATCATTGGATATTGGAAGCATGCAATGAACATAATTGGTCTTTTTGAATCAGAGGGCTTGTATCAAGAGGAACCACATTAGGATCTTTTGTAGACTGTTATGCATCCATAACATAAAGGAGACTTGACTCTGAGCTAACCTTTCTAACTAGATGGGACTTTGGGGTTGTCTCCTGTGAGGTGAGAATAAGTGCAATCTACACGGGAGAGAGTGGTAAGCAGGAGGACAAACTGTTGTAGACATTACATTTCCTAACCAATATTTCAAGTTTTCCTCTCCTTCTACTCACACAGGAGAATTGCACTTTTCTGCTTCTAAGAATTTGGTTGTGATATGTGCTTTTATGAGAAGCGACCCAAGGCAGATGCATTTGAGCACCACTATAAACTATTCTTTCATCTTGCTACAACTCATGTTCCCAAATGGTAGATCCTGCATCAGCCAATATTGAGAGGGAGCGTGGAAATCCTTATCGTTCTAAGCCTCTGAGGATATGGAAGTGTTTATTCCCAGTGCATGACATAGTCTATCCTAATGGATACTTGTTATACAAGTTAAAATAAATAGGGAAATAACTTTAAAAATATAGACTGTAATTCTATACAGTCTATAGAAAGACTTTCTATAAAATGTTATAGAAAGAAAAGAAATGAAAAAACTTAAAAAACAATCAAGAAAGCATAATAGAAGAAAAAAGGTAAGAATGAGAGACAGAGAAATAGAGGAAAGCAAATAATAGGGTAGAAAAAATTAATCAGAAAATGCATTAATCAGATCTTGTAAGGCTATCCTGTATGAGTTAGTAATTATTAACGCAGGATAGGCTTACAGAACCTAAGATTTATTTCTCACTCACATATTCAATCTGGGACCTAGACCGAAGGAATACCTTCAGTCTGGAACATGATATTACTGTAGCAGAGAACAACTCAGAACAACATGGTGACTCTAAAAGTTTCTACTCAGAAGTAGCCCATTCAATTATACTCACTTTTAATTGATAAAATAAACAAAAACTAATCAGCCCCTGCCTGGTGTAGCTCAGTGGACTGAGCATGGGCTGCAAACCAAAGGGTCACCAGTTTGATTCCCAGGCAGGGCATGTGCCTGGGTTGCAGGCCAGGCCCCCAGTGGGGGCCACATAAGAGGCAACCACACATTGATGTTTCTCTCCCTCTCCTTCTCCCTCCCTTCCCCTCTCTAAAAATAAATTTTAAAATTAAAAAAAACTAATCAGTCACATGGTCAAGTTTGTTAATGGACTTAGATGTGAATGGGGCTAGAAGTATAACACTTTCACAGGGACAGGCCTAGAAGAGGGGAGTCTGGTGAGGAGGAGCTACTAGGAAGTATCAGTGAATATTTTGATGATGAAATAAAGACAATACCAAATAGAAAACTGATCTTAATAAGTGGAATTTATCTAAACTATACAATTAGAAGTCAAAGACTGTCAGACTGAATTAAAAATAGTCCAACTCTATGCTCTTTATAAGTGCCTCAACTAAAACATTCAAAGTCTAAAAGTCAAAACATGGGAAAAATAGACTAGGAAAATACTAATCAAAGACATCTGGTATAGCTATACAGTTATACAAAATATGAGATTTTAAAGCAAAATGCACTTCTAGGGATAAAGATCTACATATAGATCTTTACATAATTGTCACTACATAATAATAAGACTTCAATTCATCAGGAAAAGATAGTTCTAAACTTTACGCACTTAATAAGATAGTCTCATAATATATGAACAAATTCACCATCTTAGAAGATTTTAACTTCATTTCCTCATAGTAAATTAAACAGGTCAAAAAATAAGGATATAAAAAAATCTGAGTAACACAATTAACAAGCTTAATGAAAAAGGTAAGTATAGAATACTGCACTCACCAGCTGCAGAATATACATTCTTTTTGAGCACAAAATATTTATTATAGTTTGTAAAACAAGTCTCAATCAATCTGAACAAATTTATAGCATGTGCACACTTACTTGACAACTATAAAATTAAAAACCAGGAACAAAAGACAAATAAAAATAATACCATGTATTTGGAAATTTAAACTTTTATTTGGGGGTTAAAAAAGTCATAATGGACATCATAAATTCTTAGAACTGAATGATAAAGTCATATTCAAAACTTGTGAGATGCTGCTAAAATCTTATTTTGAGGAAAATGGATAATTATATATTCCTAAGTACAAAAGAGGCTCAACATTAATGAACTTAGCATTCAGTCTTTAGACATTAGGGAAAACATAGAATAAACTTTACAAAAGCAGAAAAGATACAACTGAGTTTTTCAAGGGGGGAATTTCATAATTATATGAGAAATCTTGGGCGCAACATAACCCTGAGCTGCCTGTTTTAGACCCATCAGCATATCAGCAGCATCTTTTAAGGTCCAGCCTCATAACTATACCAAACAAAAACAAAAACAAAAACAAAAACCTCATGGAAAAGGCCAAGGGAAGAAGCAAAGCAAAAGTGTGGTTTCAGCTCAGTGTAGCCTCGGCCCCTGAAATCACCCAGGGGCTCTGGCGTACACACCACACCACAGTCTTTGCCCCATTCCGACAAGGAAGTGAGGCTTCTGTACCTCCGTATCAGGCATTAGGCAGTCACTGTTTACTGGCTGTTAAAGGGATGAGTAGTGCATTACTTCCAGATGACTAGCTCCTGGTGTTGTTGCTCCAATCTACCAAGGGGAAGCCTCTAGAAAACGTCGCAGGTGTGAGCCATTAGCAGCATCACATTCAGCAGATGGAGAAGAATGGGTGCACTGAACCAATAAAATGAAAGCCAGGACATCCAGACAGAGCACCAACATTGTCTGCTACGCTCCACCCCTTGTACCTCTCAGGTCCATTTGCTTTGCACATTAGGTTCACTCCATTCTTTACACCTTCTCCAGGGTTCTGGTCGATCACAATTTCTAGGAAAACTTATAGAAAAGTTAGTGGGATGAAACTATAGCCTCCATTGCTGCAGTTCGCCCTATGGTCAGACTGATACTATTTCCTTTACCACCCACTTCTACATTCCCCTCAACCTGAGCCAGCATTCTGTTGGTTTAGGTGGCTTACCTGGTGGTGTCACCTGAAGGGTCTGAGATTTTGGTTACCATGCTGATGGCTGAGCAAATACTTGCCAAGTTACAGTGACAATACCAAGAGATACCCCAGTGGCTCACATGAATGCTAAATATATTCTTCCCTGCCACCATTATGTAGCAACAACCCTACCTCCTCATGATTGTCAGTCAATTACCCCTTTAAACATGGTAACTCTTTTCCTGCTGGGCTGCTGGCACTGTGAGCCTAGAATGGTCAAGGGCAGCAACAGCCTTAAGTTAAGCACAACTATCAACGTGTTCCCTAGTGGAAGTGTCCCCTTTCTAGAAACCAGGACATTTAGTTCTTCAACAGTCTAAAGCCTCAGAAACTAAAAGCGTAAGCTTCTCAAGTGGGTTTCTGGAAAGGGGCCATCGTCCTTCCCATTCCTTGGTTTCCAGTGGTAACACAGGGCCATAAGGTGACCAGGTGACCACTGGTTTAGGGCAAGAGCAACAAACTTTTTATGTAAAATGCTAGACAATAAATATTTAGGTTCTGTGGACCACACAATCTCTGACACAACTACTCAACTCCATCAATGTAGCATAAAAGAAGCTGTAGACAGTATGTAGATGATGAGTGTGGTTGTGGTCCAATAATTTTTTTTTGTAAAACAGCAGCCAGCCAGATTTGGCCTTTGAATGACCATTTGCCAACCTCTGCTTTAATATACATACTGTGTCTGGAAGGATAGTGCTCCATCTTTGTAGGATATCATCTCCAAGCTGTGTTTCTTAGAGGCCGTTCCATTGCTCTGTCAGGCTAACAGCTGATGAACGATGTGGAATGGAGCAGGACCAGTGAATCACACAGGCTCGTGCCCACTGCTGAACCTCTTTCTCATAAATTCATTCCCTTGATCTGAAGTGACAGACCCCATGTCAGTGAAATCAGATACTCTGTGAACCCAAGGTGCTGACCAAGTCAATGCAGGCAGGAAAGGTAAACTCACACTTAGAAAATATGTCAATTGTATTCAATTGCTGCTCTTTCCAGAGTGCAAGGGGTCTTACATAAATAAGTGCCACTAAGTGACTGGTTGTTCTCCTCAAAGATTCATGCACAGTATCAGTCTCTGTTGTTGACAGGTATGGTGACGGTGGTAGCAAGGTCAGCCTTGGTGAGGGATGCCATGCTCTTGTGCCCACGAGTAGCCTTTTTCTCTGCCATCACAGCACTCAGTTCATGAGCCCATTACACCAGCACTGTGGTAACCAATGATTGTGGCTGGCTGATATCTCTGTTGCAACTCTTCTGTTTTCTGGAGACCCTACACGGTGTCTCAACCACAGGTATTTCTAGGATCACTGTAGGGTATAACTTCTAAATAAGTACATTCTAGTGAAGCAATTTCAATCGAACAGGGGCAAGTCTCCGGAGAACCACGTGGGTGTGACTGGTATATGCTGTAGCAACACCACTGGCAGCAGCTGGGGGATGTGTACACCAAGCTAGTAGAAAGGACCGTAGGGGATCTGGGTGGGAAACCAACAGTGTCTGGCACACTGACCACATTGGGTTTCTCTAATGAATGGAGGGTTGAATTATTAGAAAAGTAATCTAAAATTAATCTGTGTAACCCACTGCATTAACATCTTAAAGGAGAAATATAATCACCTCAATAGATAGAGAAAAACGTCAATCATTCAACATCCACCACAATAACAGTGTTAACAAACTAGGATTGGAAGTAGGTGAAGGCAAACGCTATAATGACATGTGATATGCACACATAGAACAGGTTTTGTTTGATGGGAGGTGCTGGGGGGAAATGTGGAATATTTCAGCAAATCGAAGTCCAATTCCTCCTTTTTCTTGTAATGCAATGCAGAGATGAGCAGGCGCCAGAGCATTTTTGGTTGGAGGTGTGGTTCTGCCACAGGGGTCAGGAAGGTGTGTAATCTGTGGCCTGGCTACAAGGTTTATTATTATTTAACAGTAGGAGTGGCCTTTAGTGAAGGACATACAGTTACGACTTAGGTAGCAAACAACTGAGTAGCCAGCAGCCGTTCAGTGATTTGTTTGCCATAGTCACCTACTCTTTGCTATCCTAACTTCCACGTAAGCATCAGAGCAGCCATGGATGCAGACAATAATCAATGAGGACCTAGACACCGAGACAGCTCCATTTAGAAACCAATCAGATGATTACCATGAAACATCAGCTGCTTTTATTGACCTTTAAAAAAAGCTTCCTTGAAGTATAATTTCCATACCATAAAATCCACCTATTTTTTTAAAAGATTTTTAAAATTTATTTATTTATACAGGGAGGGGAAGGGAAGGAGAAAGAAAGGGAGAGAAACATCAATGTATGAGAAACACATCAACTGGTTGCCTCTCGCACACCAACTGGGGACCTGGCCCACAACCCAGGCATGTGCCCTGATTGGGAATCAAACCGGCAACTTTTTGGGTCACAGGCCAGCACCTAATCCACTGAGCCACACCAGCCATGGCAAAATCCACCTATTTTAAGTGTATCATTCAATTAATTTTATTTTATTTATAGTTGTACAACTATCCCCACAACCCAATTTTAGAACATTTCTATCACCCTAAAAAGAAAGCTTATGTTCATTTACAGCCATTTTCTGTTCCCATTCCCAGCCCTAGATAACACTAACTTATTTTCTATCTCTACAGATTATCCTTTTATGGACAATTGACATAAATAGAATCATACAATGTGTTCTTTAGTGACTGGCTTTTCTCACTGAGTATAATGGTTTTGTAGTCCATCCACACTGCAGCATGTATCAATACTTCATTTTTTTTATTGCCAAATGGTATTCCATCGTATGACTATAACACATTTTATTTATCCATTTACCAGTTAATGGACATTTAGGTTGTTTCCACTTTTTGGCCATTGCAAAAATGCTGCCATGAAAATTTGTGTTCAAGTCTTCTTGTGCTCATGTTTTCATTTTTACTGATGATCTTATGGTTATTGGATTTAGGCACCGTGAGGAAGGAGAGAATCTGGTCCCAGTGAAGTTAGGCTCACACTTGCCCCTCCGGCTGAACTGGGGAGAGGCAGTGTCCCTGGTCCCAACTGTTTCATTGTCAGGCAACCAAGGGCACTCCCAGGATCACCATCAGTCAATGTAGAGTATCCACAAAAAGTCTACAATTACTTAATGATAAAACGTTCTCTTTCACAATCAGAACAAGATATTTCTATGCAGCATTGTGTAGAAGGTTCTAGACAGTTAATGACAAGAAAAAGAGTTAAAAGACACAACAACTGGAAAGGGATAGAGATACAGAGAAAAATCAAAATAATCTATAGATAAATTATTGGAATGTGAGTTTTGTAAGGTTACTGGATTTAGAATCAAAACCAAGATACTCAAGTCAGTTTCTTTTATATAACCATTAAAACACTTTTTATTTTTTCTTTAAAAAAATTTTATTTTTTTTAATTTTAATTATTGTTCAAGTACAGTTTTCTGTCTTTTACTCCCATCCCAGCCCTCCTCACCTGCCTTCCGTTTCCACCCTCACCCCTAGTTTTTGTCCATGTGTCCTTTATACTTGTTCCTGCAAACCCTTCCCCTTTCCCCCTGAAATTCCCTCCCCTCTCCCCTCTGGTCACTGTCAGCCTGTTCTCTATTTCAGCTTCTTTGGTTATGTTTTGCTTGTTTGTTTTGTTGATTAGATTCCTGCTAGAGGTGAGATCATATGGTATTTGTCTTTCACTGCCTGGCTTATTTCACTTAGCATAATGCTTTCCAGTTCCATCCATGCTGTCGCAAAGGGTAGGAGCTCCTTCCTTCTTTCTGCTGCATGGAATTCCATTGTGTAAATGTAGCATTGTTTTTTGATCCATTCATTTACTGATGGGCACTTAGATCACTTCCAAAACTTGGCTATTGTAAATTGTGCTGCTATGAACATTGGGGTGCATAGGTTCTTTTGGACTGATGTTTCAGGATTCTTAGGATATAATCCTAGCAGTGGAATTGCTGGGTCAAAAGGCAAATCCATTTTTAGTTTTCTGAGAAAATTCCATACTGTTTTCCATAATGGTTGTATCAGTCTGCAATCCCACCAGCAGTGCACTAGGGTTCCCTTTTCTCCACAACCTCTCCAACACTTGTTGTTTGTTGCTTTGTTTATGATGGCCATTCTGTCTGGTGTGAAGTGGTATCTCACTATCATTTTAATTTGCATCTCTCTGATAGCTAGCAATATTGAGCATCTTTTCATGTGTCTCTGGATCCTCTGTATGTCCTCCTTGGAGAAGTGTCTGTTCAAGTCCTTTGCCCATTTTTTAATTTAAAATTTTTAATCAATGGAACAGAGCAGAGAGTCCAGAAATAAACCCAAGTCTCTATGGTTAATTAATATTCGAAAAGAGGCAGCAACAAAATGGAGTAAAAATAGCCTCTTCAACAAATGATGTTGGGAGAACTGGACAGTTACATGCAAAAAAAATGAAATTCGAGCACCAACTTACACCATACACAAAAATAAATTCAAGGTGGATAAAAGATTTAAATATAAGCCATGACACCATTAAAGTCCTAAAGGAGAACATAGGCAGGAAAATCTCAGATATTCCATGCAGCAATATTTTCACTGATATGTCCCCTAGAGCAAGGGACATAAAGGAAAGAATAAACAAATGGGATCTCATTAAAATAAAAAGCTTTTGCATGGCTAAAGAAAACAATATTAAAATAAAAAGAGAACCAACCATATGGGAAAACATATTTGCCAATGATATCTCAAAGGTTTAACCTCCAAAATATATAAAAACTCACATGACTCCACTCTAAGAAGACAAGCAACTCAATTAAAAACACAACTTTTTAAATGT